AAAAAAAAACAACTTTTTTTTTCAATGTCGAGTGAAACAATAGCAAAGAACCGTTTTTTGATTCAAAGAATTCGGCCAGTAGTTAGAATGATAATTGTTCGTACAAATTGTGTGTTAATCGTACCTAAATAAGCATTAAAACCCGTGTCGAATTGGACACAACTCGGTGGTTGGCCGCGTGTACGTAAATTACAAACTTATTTGCTGCACTAAAACTCGTGTTTGTAGCTTGTTTCGACTCTGCTCGTAAAACGACAAGAGTGGATGCTCCCGTTCGAACGATCCGTGCGTGATTTACAGCTGCGCATTCGATTTGTTGAAAATAAAGTGACACTTTAGGCGGTCGTTATGCAGCGCCAGTTAAACTGTGATTTTTCGCGAGTAGGAAAAAATAACCCGAAACATTTTACCGTAATGCACTGCAGTGCACTTAACGCTCAGTTTCCTAAAATGTTAGGCTTTATTTGGGTCAAGACGATACTCGAGCAAACGCGTATTTTCTCCCGGCTGCTCCGCGACTTTTAAAGCTGCGGGGGGGCTTTTGTGCGCGCCCGCGTACCTCCGAAATGTGCATTATACTCGAGGAACGTTGGAAATTTCCCAACTATCGTAATCACTACGTGAAAGTGAATACTTGAAAAAAAAAAAAAAAAATCGTATACAGAAGCAATCACAGAACAATTTTCTTTTCCATGTGCTTTGTTGTGCCCAAAGTTTCGTGTCAATATTTTTTAGGACAAACAACAAGTGTAATGTAAAACAATTAAGCTTTTGCACATAAGGCACGACTGTTACGTTTATCACAAAAGCAAAAAATAAAAGGTTCTCGCGATACTTTTCGTAAGGTATACTTTTTTTGAATTACCAAAGTAGGTATTTAATAATCTTCATTGGGCCTCATTGACAAAACGCTTTTTTACAAAAAAAATTGGCCTTTCCAAAGATTTTTATGAATTTTCTTGGTCAACAATGATTTGAAAAAAAGGAATACGTTTTTGTCTTTGTAACCTAGTGCCATTTCATACACGCCACGCGTATACCATTGCATCATAATAATTACGCAGCCGGGATAGGAAAAACTGATACTCGGCATTCATTATCTGTAAAATTGTAATCGAGAGCCATTATAAGTGCCATTTTTCAAAGGCCCGAGAGTTTTGACTCGAGAGTTGGACTTGAAATAAAATTATTGGCAAAAAAAATTCCCAGGAATCCTCGAAGCAATTTTGCAAGCCCGTACATGTTACCGGAATTTCCAAAACGTCCTTGAGCACCCAATAAGACTCTGACGGCCGGCAGGTATCCCACTGACGGCAGGCCGGCCATCGTCCCGTTCGTCGCAGCGCAGCAGCTCCGGCCTCGGCACCGGCGCCACGGCCAAACTCATGGGCTACGGTGCGGCTGGGGCCCGCAAATCCAGCATCCTCCACCAGCAGCAGGACCCCTGCAACTCGTCGCGCGTCCCCCTCGTCCCGGCCTCCCGAGCAGGTGCGGCCCGCGCCGCTGCCATCTTGCTGATCTCATGCCACCGGCAGGCCTCTGCTGGCTTGACTCTGCCCGCCTCGGCCGCGCCTGCAGCTCACGCCCTCAACAACATCGCTGAGGCCACGTCCGACGGCCTCGGTCAGCCCCACTTTTCTTTCCCTATACCTCAAATCTTCTCCGTATACTTGTCATCTATATATTATATACCTACTTGTTACTCTATACATCATTGCTATATTATACGCTCTATTGTGTATCGATATTGTTTATATTTCGTTGTTTTTTCTTTTTCTTTTTTTTTTTTTTTTTTTTTTTTTGTGGTGTGCCCGATTTCAGCGATACACGTACTTTTCTCCGTCAAATCTTTCTATTTTAGTGTATCTGCAAAATGTGTAAAAAAAACAAAATGTTATACTTACACATTTCCCGCGTCTTTACAAAAGATAATATTATATGTATTCATCGCGGTTAAGTAATTTATAGGGTAATACTTATCTCTCGGGATTTTTCATTGTTGTCGATGTTGCGTTCGATGTGTGCATTCGCTCCGTGCAAGTTTGGCGCGGAATCCCATGATACCTGCTTCGTTAAAATTATACAGTTTCCATTGACGATTTGCACGTAACGAATCGCCCTACATATATATATATGTATATACTTACGTACATATCATTGTGTCAATGTTTAACGTGAGCTTTTTTTGCTTTTGATGTGGTCTGTGCAGGATGATTCTGTCTTTACTTGTACAGCGAGCTATGAGCTCTATTACTCTTTCGACCTGTTTTTCTTAAATGTTACAAGAGCTTCGAACGTCATTTTGTTTTTGTTTTTTACATTGACATTGTGTATGCATTTGCGGAGATGGTTACAGCTCTTGGTTTAACGTGAGGGTATGAAATTGTTTCATTGATATTGGATGTAATCCGTAAGTGGTCGAGTAAAAAAAAAAAAAAATTATATACCCAAGTTGTTGCCATCCCCGAGCGATTGTATGCCTGCAGAGTTTGACAAAACTACACCGAAAACTACGCAGCTCAAAAAGTCACACTATACTTGATATAAAGAGTAACACAAGCAGATTTTATGTTTACGTTATTAATTATTCAAAATTTTTCCTTTGGTCTTTGTAATCACAATGAGGTCCGATATAAAAAAAGAGAAAAAAAAAATAGTAGAGACAAACTTTTTGATACAAAAAGTAGACTCAGCCGCTCGCTATTCAGGGACTGCCAGGTATCACACGAGTCAGCAAGGTGGCTGGCACAATAATAATAACTCTAATTTTCACTACACAATTAAACACTCAAGTGTTTCAACGATCTAGTGGTAAGAGAAATTCTATAGCCACGTGAATTGATAATACTTATTTGTACCTCACTTTTACACATATATAGTTATATATACAAGTAATACTTTTTTGCACTCACTTGAGAAAAAAGTCTAACACAGTTTTTTTTTTTGTTTTTTCACAAAAGAAACATGACTTTGAAATAGCGCTTGATTTTTTTTTTTTTTTTTTTTTTTCAAGATAGAAGCAAAAACGCATGTTTACTGCTGATGCTGCTTACACCAATAACTATCTTGTTTTACACCCACCCAAACAGCGTTAGTCGCCAAAAGTTGGTAATTTTTTCTTTTTTTCGATTAAAACATCGCGAAACAAACGTATTGTTTTCCAAAAACTGGCATGACACATTATTCGTAAATGCACCCTAGATAAATAACAATAGATCAATGAGACGAGTAGACGTCGCAAACGTAAATGCGAAAGGGGGGACTCGGTGCGGGCATTAATTACCCCCGAAACGTCAACAGGCTCGCGGCGACCCAGCGTGGCATCGATCCACAGCTCGACGTCCTCCGCCAAGAGCTACAGCGCCCGGCGCTTCGAGCGCGAGCGCAACGACAAGGAGCAGCGCCTCATCCTGGCCGAGTTCAAGCGAGAACAGCAGCAACAACTGCAGCAGCCCGCCCCTTCGCCCAGCCCGAGGACCCCGCACTCGACGGACGAGCTGCTGCCGTCGGTCGAGGAGGCCACCGAAACTTTTTACAACGAGGTACGCTTTTCATTTTTTTTTTTTTTTTTATTGTTATTTTTTTTTTTTACAATGAAAAAAGAAACGCCTCGTTGTTGGATGTGTGCAGCAGGTGCCGACGACGTCCCGTCGGGCAGAGACAACAAACGCTGGGGCCGAGGACAGGGTGGACACTCCGCTCTTCGAGGGTGACGCGAAGCCGGGCTACACCAACTATGGCTCGTCGTAACACTGCACCCGTGCCGTGAAAAACGGGTGTAACGCTGCCATCCTCGTTATATTTGCTTCGGGATGAGCTCTCGCGCCCGCGTGTAATTTATATAAATTGCAAAGTTGGGACGTGACGAGCTGCTCCGAAAGGATAATAACCATCACGACGAATTGCCGATTTCGTTGCGTATATGGTTGTATTGAGGTCTGTTGTTTCTTTCTCTTCTTTTTTTCTTTTTTTCTTTTCTTTTTTTTTTTTTTTTTCAATCGGAAACTGTGCCATCGTATCGTCGAGATGAAAAACACGCTGATGCTTTTAATACAACGTACCCAAGAAATTCTCATCGGGGGAAAAGAGACCCTGAGGATTTTACACGCGTCCTTGGACACGAGCGGGTCGGCAGTTTCGATCGGTACATTGCTAGGTATGTGCCCAGCTTCATAATTTTTACCAACTTTTCGAAATGAAACGTTTTCACGCATTCGATAATATTTATAACGTTTGTATGACGAAAAAAAAAAAAAAAAAAAAATTGCCCATCATAGGAAAAAAATACCTGTAACAAGACTCGTGTAACTTTAAACTCCCGTTAGTTTATGATTTTTTTACTTTGTTTTGTAAAAATATATACAGCAAGAGAGTGTTATGTATACACTTTTTTATATTAACGAGGTTACTTTGAGCCGAACTACGCATAAAAATATTGTCTGTGACGATCAAGTAAAATATAAGATTTAGTCGTTTGTGGAATTGTATGTTTATGAAGTTGATATGTTGTATAACTTTTACGATGTAAAAATGTGCAGTACTTATCTCGTAATAATATGTAGCCTAATTTGCCGACAATATCATACAATTGACTTGTTTTTTATTTAACAGATATTCCGACGGTAATCTAATACATATATAGTGGTTTTAATCCCTGTATGATAAAGCTGTGAAACAGGCATAGGTAAAGTTTTTTACAAAATTTTTTTTAAGTTTTTTTTTTTTTTATTGTTTTCGTTCGTCTTCGATTCACATCATGAAGCAATTACATACGTGTATGAATAAAACGCCTACACACACATGAATGTTTGCAGAAATTGTAAAAGTAAGTACGAAACCATTTTAAAAATTTTGTTTCATTTTCAAAATCAAGTGCAATATCTTACTTGCCAATTTTTTTATACTTAAATGAATTTTACTTTGGATCGATGGAGTTATCGTTAAATTTTTTTATTTTTNGCCGGAGAGCATACTTTATACTCTATCTGCTGAGCTAAGGACTCACTTTATTATTAGACACACCATGTTCCTTACATATCAAAGTGAACGAAAAATGTTTTCGTACTGACAGATTTATCTGAAAATCTGCACGCATTTATGAATCATAGAACCGAATTCCCTTTGCATATAATAATAAAGTTAATAAAAAATTAAAAAATAATAAAAATAAATGATATATTGAGATATATAAAAATCGCTGCCTTTTACAATGAAAAATAACAACCCAAAATATGGGATTGCTAAGTGAAAAAAAAAAAAATTCAAAATTTTGACGAGTTAACGACCATATCGATGGCAGAATGAGTACTTATTGAAGCTTCTTAAACTATTGAAAAATTGTATCTCAAATCATACACCGTTATCATACGCATATAACCACGGATCATAAGCATATAATATACGTCATGTTGAATGATAAAAATGTTCAGTTTATTGTATAAAATTTAAGATGTACAAATTAAGCATTTTTTAGGAATCATAAGTTGAAAGAACGTACTGTTATGTTAACTAGAAAAAGAAAAAAAGGAGAAAAAAAAGGTGTTTGGCTATTTCGATGGTGCAAAATTAAGCAAGCTTATGAAAAACAACAATGACGCAGTCTAATTTACAGTACGTATATATGGGCATACGATTGTACAAGATATACACTTGATCGATCGGTGAAGAATCGATGTTCACGTTGTTTATAACAAAGAAAAAAAAAAGAAAAAAAAAAAAAAGTTGTTTCAGCCTATTTTGGATGTTTAACTGTAAGATAAATTGTAATATAGTCGTTGAGCAACTAATAAAGCTCATTTTTCCTACACGATCGAGTTCAAGAGATGGTTAAAAGTAGAAGAAGAAAAAATCCCTATCACACTTGCGTTTTTTGTAATGTAAAGTACGTGTACAAAAATATACTCTGTCGATACATGCAGGAGTCAGTAGCCGTAATCGCCAACGAAATTAGTCGACTTCTTCGATGGTCGGGCCACCACCAGCCCCAGTCGCACCTGGCATCCCCGGACCAGCACCACCCTGGTAAAGCTTCTTGATGATGGGGCTGCAGACCGACTCGAGCTCCTTCTGCTTGTCCGCAAACTCGTCCTTTTCAGCGAGCTGATTGGCATCCAGCCAGGCAATGACCTCCTTGCACTTGTCCAGGACGATCTGCTTATCCCCGGGGCTGACCTTGTCCTTGAGCTTTTCGTCCTCGACGCTGCTCTTGACGTTGAAGCAGTACGACTCGAGGGAGTTCTTTGCAGCGATTTTCTCGCGCTGCTGCTCGTCCTCGTTACGGTAGCGCTCGGCCTCGTTGACCATACTCTCGATGTCCTCCTTGCTGAGCCGACCCTTGTCGTTCGTAATGGTGATCTTGTTCTCCTTGCCGGTTGACTTGTCGACCGCCGTCACGTTCAGTATGCCATTGGCGTCTATGTCGAAGGTCACCTCGATCTGGGGGACGCCGCGCGGTGCCGGTGGTATGCCCGACAGCTCAAACTTGCCCAAAAGATTGTTGTCCTTGGTCATGGCGCGCTCGCCCTCGAACACTTGGATCAAAACACCCGGCTGGTTGTCCGAGTAGGTTGTAAAGGTCTGGGTCTGTTTGGTCGGTATGGTGGTGTTGCGCTTGATCAGGGCAGTCATGACGCCACCCGCGGTCTCGATTCCCAGGGACAGGGGAGCCACGTCGAGGAGCAACAGGTCCTGGACTTCCTCGGACTTGTCGCCGTGGAGTATGGCAGCTTGGACCGCGGCTCCATAGGCGACTGCCTCGTCCGGGTTGATGGACTTGTTCAGCTCCTTGCCGTTGAAAAAGTCCTGCAGCAGCTTTTGGATTTTGGGGATGCGCGTCGAGCCACCTACGAGGACGATGCTGTGCACCTGTGCTTTGTCCATCTTGGCGTCGCGCAACGCTTTCTCGACGGGTTCGAGGGTGCCACGGAACAGGTCTGCGCAGAGCTCCTCGAAACGGGCACGGCTGATGCTGGTGTAAAAGTCGATGCCCTCGTAGAGCGAATCTATCTCGATGCTGGCCTGCGTTGAGGAAGAAAGAGTGCGTTTGGCACGCTCGCAGGCGGTCCGCAGACGGCGCACTGCTCTTTTATTGCTCGCCAGGTCTTTTTTGTATTTGCGCTGGAACTCCTGTACGAAATGGTTGACCATCCTGTTGTAAGGCGAGTGTTTTGTTACAAATGATTTGCGTGTGTGTGTGCATAGTGAACTCCAAGCCCAACTTTTAGCTATACTTACGTTGTTTGTAAATATTTTCTGGTTATTTAAAACGTAAATAATACCTGCTATCGAAGTCTTCCCCTCCGAGATGCGTATCGCCAGCCGTGGACTTGACTTCAAAAATGCCATCCTCGATGGTGAGAATGGACACGTCGAACGTGCCGCCCCCCAAGTCAAAAATCAGGACGTTTTTCTCGCCTGCGGTTTTCTTGTCGAGGCCGTAGGCGATGGCAGCGGCCGTGGGTTCGTTTATTATGCGCAAGACGTTCAGGCCGGATATGGTGCCGGCGTCTTTGGTTGCCTGCCGCTGGGAGTCGTTGAAATACGCTGGCACGGTTATTACGGCGTTGGTCACGGTACCGCCCAGGTACGCCTCGGCGATCTCCCTCATCTTCACGAGCACCATCGAACTGACCTCCTCGGGATAGAAGCTCTTTTTCTCTCCCTTGTACTCCACTTGAATTTTGGGCTTGCCGCCGTCGTTGATCACCGTGAAGGGCCAGTGCTTCATGTCGCTCTGAACCGTCGGGTCATCGAATCGTCGGCCAATCAAACGCTTGGCATCTTTTAAGTGTTTTTAATTTTTTTTTTTTTTTTTCTTACATCATGCGAATGTTATTCGAAAGTGAGTTTTTCAAGTTGATTCTTACCGAAAATTGTGTTGCTGGGGTTCATGGCGACCTGATTTTTGGCCGCGTCGCCCACAAGGCGCTCGGTATCCGTAAAGGCGACATAGCTGGGTGTTGTGCGGTTGCCCTGGTCGTTGGCGATTATTTCCACTTTTCCGTGCTGGAAAACACCCACGCACGAGTAGGTCGTGCCAAGGTCGATGCCTATTGCCGGTGTCTTGGTCATTTTTATCTGAAAATTTATAACTTCGTTTTTTTTATTCCGGTCCACGCGAAAATGGTAAGCAAAAATTTAGATCCCTTGTAAAACGCAACTTTGGTATACTTGAAAGCATTGTTTTTGAAACGTTGAGGTATTACTGTTATTATATTTACAATTTGTATTTCAATTACTTTTCAACTTAAATTTTCAAATATTGTTATGCATGACAAAAAAAATTTTTTTTTCTTCAATTTACTCTTTGGACTAAACTTTAGGATCCGTTTTGGGTTAAATTTTTCTCCGGTCCACGCGAAAATGGTAAGCAAAAATTTAGATCCCTTGTAAAACGCAACTTTGGTATACTTGAAAGCATTGTTTTTGAAACGTTGAGGTATAAAACCGTAAATTGTAAGAATGACGCAAAATTATGATAAAATCCTCAATCCTTCCATTAAAGCCCTTTTTTTTTTAATTTCTATATTAAAGTTAATATTTTTCTCAAATTTCTCCGCAGCTAAAAATACGCAATAAAAAAAAAATTTTGTATTGTAAATTCTTCGAAAAATTTGGAATATTATAAAACGTTAATTGTCTAAACGTTTAGCCTTCATTTTTAAACACTGCATCGTTGTAAAACCGTTAATTTTGCAACGTCACAAACACAACGTTTTTACAACGTCATGTACTACATGTGTTAGGAATATAAACGATGTCTTATATTATTGTCCTGCATGACGCAAGTTCATACTGCATCAAGATATTTAATATAATCTCTGTAATTAGCGTTCAGTACCTAAAAAAGTAGCGAGGGCAATCTAATAATGAAAGTAAAACAAACACTCGCTTCAGAAACATCTAGGCGATTCATTCCGACAACGTTTGATAATTGCATCTTTTTTTATTCACACGCTTTTGAGGGTAAAAATAAAAACAAAATTACTTCATCAGCATATCCCATTTTGTACAATCAAACATCGTACCATTTTGCGCACTTGTGTTAAAAAATAAAAATAAAATAACTGGAAACCACAAATAACGACGAAAAGGCGATTTGTGACAACAAAAGAGAAATGATCACTTTGTCCAACGCTTTTTTTTTTTACAAGAGTCCAAAAAAAAATGTCACGATGGATGGTAAACAATGGGAAAAATCTTTTGTATTAAAAATAACATCCGAGTTCGCTTTTGTTAAATGCATGATGCAATGAAAGCGAAAGAAGAAGAAACGTTTAAAAATAAACAAACTTACTCAGTAAGCAGCACTATATGCGGCAACGAAAAAAGTCCGTTTGTAGCTGTCCAGACACTTTGCACGCAAAACGCTCGTCGTAGATTCGCACTTGTCGGTGTTCGCCGAAACTCTGGAAGCTGCGCACCGACTTTCGGCGCTATATAAAAACGAGCCGGTCTTCGAGAAGCTTCGCGGTATAGTCGCCACCCCATTGGCTCAGAGCGGGTCTCTACCAGCCACACCTTCTTACCTTCTCGAAGGTACACGTAAAACCTACCCGCGGAAAAGTTGAGAATCACATTCGAACAATCCGCACGTCAGAGTGCGTAGTTTTTATTTTTAGCTCGACCATTATCCACGCGAGCATTTATTACGTTTTATTTTGGATATACAAAACAGATCGGAGCCGCCTACCTTACACCTCTCGGCTCGATGTGTCCGTTGAAATGATTTCAAGCCAAACAACTTTTGTAAAACTTTAGGGATTCTTTTATTGCTGTTCATTTGTCTTAGTTAAGGTATTTACAGTTTCTATTAGTTTCGTTTCGGCACAATTTTTTTTTTTTTTTTCCAGTAAAACACTTCAATAAACACACTTTTACAACTTGATGAGTAGTCCTGTGTACAAGTAGTATAAAATATGAAACTATGCATTAGATATATTCTTCGAATCAAAGTAGTCCTTTGACAATTGGTTTTTACAATTCTCGTGCATTATCGTGCACTTGAAAATTTGATTAATTGCTGCGCTCGACGTTGTGCAAACACTTGTTAATTGTTTTCGGACTGACAAATAAACTCAGACACTTTTGAAGTAACTTTGATACAGCATGCCCATTGCTGTCGACGAAAATAATGTAAAGCAAGTCCACCATGTCGCTAGGCCGAAAATTCCTCTAAATACTTCAATGGTGAAGATCTGTAAGTTATAACATTTCAAAGGGTAAAATTTTTACGATAAGCTTATTTTTTCATCAATACATGAAGCAGTTTTCTTACTTGTCTCATTGTACTGAGAGCCAAGTGGAATTCATGCGCTGTTTGGGCAATGGTTTTTTCTTCATCGTTGATAAAAGTTTTTGGTTCAGGTAGTGGTTCTGGTGCTGGACATTCTTCGGAATCCAAATTTTTATATACCCCTTCCCAACTGTAACCTCCTGCAAAAGTTTTAAACGGAATTTAAAAATAATTCCAAGTAAATACTTCACTACATATCAAGTCTGAGATATTTACCCAACGTTTTATACATGAATGCACAATACAAACAAATAATTAATGGTGCTATGTACTGCAGTGCAACAACACAAAGATAGTAAAATACAGCTGCGACCTGTTAAAAGTATATAGTGAAATGAAACATTTTTTTAATTAATCAAAGATGCGCTTGCAAATAATTGTAACAAAAAACAAATATACCTTTTTCTGAAATTCAGTGTTTGATATCCTGCCAGCTTCTTTCTTTTGAATTTCCAGCTTTTGATTCGCCAAATTTAAATAAGATTGTAAATAAACGGGCATCAATGCAAATCTCAAAAGGACAGCAACAACTATAGCAATTAATCTCAGACTCTCAAAAGCTGATGGTGTCATTCTGTAGGACAAAATGTAGATTTTAATAAAAATATAGTAATAGAAGTAAAATTATTTCTTTCACAACTTACATTGGCTTTGTTGCACCAGCGAATATTCTTACAGTAAGGTAATCCCTGCTGATGGGCTTGATCCATAAGCTTGCCAATAAAAGTGGCGAGACATAACTAAGATTAGCCAGAAGTAGGAGAATCTTACTGTCTTTGTAGTACCTGCAATCATGATAAAATTATGTAATAATTCATTAAAAAATTCAGCCTAAAAAAAAATAATTTGCTTTAGTAGGAATATACTTCAAGGCGTCCCAATGCATTTTTGATACACGTAGACCAGGAAAGGTAAGTAACGATCCAAAAAATCCACACAAGACTGCAAAGCACAGCTTGACAATAAGTTTAGATGCTGGACCACTATAAAATAATAATAAAAAATGAGTTGTATATTTTCAACAAAAATAATGGAATAAAAATACTTGACAACCCACCTTGAAGAGAGACCTTGATTTTTCATAAAAATAGAGGCAGTATGGTTGAAGCTTGTGTAAGCATTATCCAAACCGAGTTCAAGCGTGTTTTCATCAATTATGAGAATCATCATAGCTATCAAGAGATACAAGAACCCTGTAACAATGCACGTTGATCTTTCTCCAATACTTTCTTCACCTTTGAAGTACTGTACCCAAAGTGTGACCAAAACTTTACTAATAAACGCTAAGGAAAATGTTTTTTTTTTTTTTTTTTTTAATTTAGCTACTTGCAGAGTAAACAACAAAAATTCATAATCAAAGGATACAATGAAAAACCTATGACCAAACAACACCCCAGTGTCTTGGTCATTTTTATCTGAAAATTTATAACTTCGTTTTTTTTATTCCGGTCCACGCGAAAATGGTAAGCAAAAATTTAGATCCCTTGTAAAACGCAACTTTGGTATACTTGAAAGCATTGTTTTTGAAACGTTGAGGTATTACTGTTATTATATTTACAATTTGTATTTCAATTACTTTTCAACTTAAATTTTCAAATATTGTTATGCATGACAAAAAAAATTTTTTTTTCTTCAATTTACTCTTTGGACTAAACTTTAGGATCCGTTTTGGGTTAAATTTTTCTCCGGTCCACGCGAAAATGGTAAGCAAAAATTTAGATCCCTTGTAAAACGCAACTTTGGTATACTTGAAAGCATTGTTTTTGAAACGTTGAGGTATTACTGTTATTATATTTACAATTTGTATTTCAATTACTTTTCAACTTAAATTNAAAAAAAAAAATAAAAAAAAAAAAAAAAAAAAAAAAAACGTGGTAAAGATTTAGTGGCACTATGTGGCAAAGTAATTGTACCTCAGTCATTATGTACACCATTGTTCCATATATGGAAAAATCCAGCAACCACTGAAAGTCTGAGTAAAACTTCAAATGTATAACATCAAGGGTAGATACAGGTGCAGTCTCTAGCGTGATATCCAAGTTTCTTGGTATTTGGAAGGACTTTGGTACTTTTCCATTTTCTGGATGTTTCCCTTTTTTATGTTTCTCCTTTGGAATACCGGCAAGGTTCTTCAACTCTTCGTTCGTTGGGTAAAGATAACGTTTCAATCTACAATATATTATTCCAGTGAGAAATTATGTTAGAAAAAAAAAGTTCAACAATTACAATTGATAAATTACCCTGTGGAACATAGTACCCATTTTGCAATTGAACAATGTGAACCCAATTTTTGAATGATACTGACCATAATCAGGGTAATAACCAATTGCCCTCCAAGTAGAGCCTGAAAAATCAAATTGAAGTATCATTTGAAGAACAATGTTTATTGAGGTTAAAGCTCAAATACATTTCTTGTAACAAGCCCTGCCCACAGACAGATCAAATGGTGATTGAAACAGTTTTGAAACAATGAAAGGTAAATACTCTGGATGAAGGTTTTGTAAGTGTTACATAGGGTGCAGTTGAAAACAGTGGAGTAATAAAGTATTAGACTTACCATTGCGACAGTGATGTGAGACTATCAAGTGGTCATGTCACTGTGATGAGAAGGAACGCTCATACGTGTCCTCCTCCTCTACTTTTCCCAAAACAAAATAATCAGCTCTTGAAGACAAAATCCATCAATTTAAGTCATGGTTTTCTATTGTAAGTTGAGAAATGTCGTTTGAGTGACTAAGCCCCACTGGCCGGAGAGCATACTTTATACTCTATCTGCTGAGCTAAGGACTCACTTTATTATTAGACACACCATGTTCCAAAACTAGCCGAGCTTACGAGCTATACCTATAACAAGTTGTACTTTTACCCGCGAGTCCCGCGTCCCGCGACTTGCTACTTATTATTATTATTATATTATGTATAGGTTACGTGTATTATGTAGCAAAGAGCTTGCGTATATATACTTGCATTTGTGATTGGGCTTGCAGAACCTCGAAGCTCCCTTTGTCTATGCAACCAGCGATGCAAACTGGTCTGACAGTTTGCCATTCCTCGGCAGGGTTGCAACTTGCAGTGGTGTTGAAAAATCAGATCGAGCGGATAATTAAAAATTTCACTTCAATAGTGATGCGACTTGGAAATCTCAGCTCAGATGGAGATTTGGAAAGAGACCCCATTTTTTTTAAGTACAATGTTTTACTAACAATGTAATACAATTATTTGTGTTAAAAAAAAAATTTTTTCAGTTTAGTGCATAACAAAATTTTTTTTTAATATTTTACAGTAAACTTCAATGTCCAAGTATAATATATATTGCACTTGAAAAACAAGTTGTCCCAGTATTCAATTGTGAATGGTGATAAATAAAAAAATTTTCACCAAAAACAATGCATTAAATTTAGGAAAAATATATATATATTTTTTTTCAAATTTAAAAAAATCCATTAAATAATTGTGCCCGTCTTCCTGTGTTCAAGTTCCTTTCCATCAATCATCTCCATACTTATAATTGTCAGTTCTGCGGTGTTCATTTCGTATTCAAAACTCAATGGAAAAATTGTGTCATGTTTGCTCATATGGTAAATGGTAAAGCACATGCTGTCTATATGAATTTAACTATCTTGTATGTACAACTTAGTATACAAAGCAAATATGGTGCTAAAACACTAAAGTTTAAAAATTATTGTGCATCTCATTTTTAGTACGACAAAATGATAGTAACAAAGAATCAGCTATAAAAAATTTAGCACCATTTCATCGAACTCACTAAATTGCTACCAAGTAAATCTAATAACATTCGTATAAACTACACTCTAATTAAAAAAATTTTATATTTTAATTTTCTTTAAATTTCATAAAAAATGTATCATGTAAGTAATCACAGCTTGAACCGATATTATTACGAACAGCATTGCTTAATTAGAGATTTTTTTTGTGAAAGGATTGGATTACTGGGTTAAATGATGTACTCTGCAAGTTTGTATACAAGATTTCTTGTTGTATTTTTCAACAGGTGTAAAAAAAAATAAACACCGTATACAATATTTTTATACGAAATTTCATTTATACAGTAGCACATAGCAAATATACTTAAGCCTATTCATAATGAGTTAGCGTTATAAAAAATGTTATACAATTTTAAAAATGAAAAATATTTCGTATAAACAATTCATTAGTCGTTAGATTTTCCATGGGGCTGCTGTTTCATTATTTCTCTAGGTCGTATGTCCTGGTGCACACGATGTCGTCCACCTTCATCACCTGCAAGGAAAACAACAAAATGAATGTTACACGTGTACACTCAAAGGGAAGGAAATAACCAATTATAAATACACTTACAGCCGTCATTTTTTCGGGTCCGAACTCACGCTCGATGGTCACCAGCTTGTCGCCCTTCTGGACGTGGATCATTTTGTTGCCCTCGAAGGTGATGGTGCTCTTGACTTTGCGGTCATCTGGGGTCTCCTCCTCAAACTCGACGCCGGGCACGAACTCGAGCACCTGGTTCTTGAAGGTGCTGGTCGTCTTCATCGTGTACTTGCCATCCTTCTCCGTCACTTCGACGGATGGCGACGTGGCGCTAGCGATTTTTCGAGTGATGAAACCCACGCCTGAAACAAATCACACTCACTTTTATCAGAAATATAGCCTTTTACGTGACCGACTAATACATAACGTCTCTCGCAACTGGAATTTTTTTTTACTCACGATCGTGACCGACAAGAGCAAATTTATTAAAAAAAAAAAAAAAAAAAACCCTTACATAATTGTTTGGAAAAATTAAGCTTATCCAAAAGATTATACTTCTACGATTGCTTTGTTATCTACGCAAGTTATGGTTACTCAAGAAAGTCCGAATTTTTTAATTCTTTCGGCAACAAGTTATCTGTACACGTGGGTTCAGCTGGTGTGAAAAAAAACGGCATAGAAACGCCCCTCTCGTTTATTACGTAAATTCGGCGATAAGAAAACTTTGACAAATCAACTAATCAACTCGGCAAATTTGGCATACAAACTTGATCTTTGCAAGGAAAAAGCACGCGAGGTATGAAAAAACAGAAAAAAAAGAAAAAAAAAAAAAAAAAAGGAATGAATTGTATAAAAATCGTTACCGATTCCCTTCATGAAATCATCAAAGTTGTCACTGGTCTCCTTCAAAGTGTACTTAAGGCCAAAGTATTTATCCATTTTCGAAAAATTCAAATTGAACGGACGGACGTACTGGGTATCAGCGAGATGCTTCGGGGCTTACGATCGGGAGGGAACTACGTCCGTTGCTAGGCGCTTACGATTTATAAGAGCGTCTAATCAACGAGTCGGAGATTTTCAGAAATAATTAGCCAGTAGCAGCGCGAAATCGTCGGAATAGCGAAAAAGAAAAGGACGGGCGTCGATAACTACAAAGATAACATAGAATGGCCTTGTAACGAGCAGACAGTGAAGTTTGACTTGTTACCGAGTACACACACAGGAAATGTCCTAACGCAAATAACGCCGCTGATCCGCCATTAACCGCGTTTAAAACTTGAAATGGATACGCCACGTAAAAATTATTTCTTTTATACGGAAATACGAGCAAGAGAACAAACTTAAAAAGCTCGGCCTTGTACTACGAAAAAATTAGCTTCGCAATGTATACCTTCCAGACGGTTTAACTGTTTTTTTTCAAAAAAATCGAGTCGACTCGTTTGAGAACTATAGTAATTTTTTTCACCAAAAGCAGGTGTAACTGCAGATTCATATTTTCGTGATTGATAGTACAAAAGAAAGAAAGAGAGAGAGAGAGAAAAAGTAACATTAATAGAATGCTTATATTTGTTGAAAGCAAACGAAATTTCGTGTTCCCGGATCAGTGGCGATTACAAATAGATAAGATAAACAAAAGCGCGTGAAGTTGAAATTCGTGATGTCCAGACGGAATAAATCAAAAAATTATGATGCCCGGAGGCAAATGTTCGTTATCTCTCGGTAAATTTTGATAACTGTTGTAATGATATTCACGGTATAGGTCTTGCAAAATAATACGGGGTCGATATAGCCAAAGGCAAAGATCCATACCGCAACTTTCTCGGCGTGGAAAATTCACGTATACGCAGCTCAAAGAGAAAAGAAAATAATATTGAACTCCCGATCGATCAAGACAATAATCTATCCTGCAGACAAGGAGCAATAACATGCATCGGCGGCAGCAGCAATTGAGCATCGAGTGCATACGCAATATGCGAGCTCGATGTACATTTTTTTTACGTCATTACAATGCACATGTTGAATGTACAGGGTATGGTGACGAGGAGCGGGTACGACGCACGGAAATAAGAGAAATAAGAAGTGGGCACCCGCCAGCCGACGTCAATAGGAAGAAGAAATTACCCGGCGAGGGCCATTAAATTGAAAGATCAGAGCGGAAGATAAGGAGCCATTGTACATACACGCGAACGTAACACACGGGAGGCTCTCGCGTGCTTGCTAAGCCTCGAGAGCTTCAAAGAGTAGATTGGTGCTTTGAAATTAGCAGATGACCTAATTTTAGACGTGTATTGCTTCGGACGTCGATAAACGTGCAGCAATACATTTGTGGCTAACGCTCGAGAAAAAGTAGTGCTGGTTAGGAGAACAAAGTTTTTTTTTTCTTTCTTTTTCTTAACAAAGGGAAGGACAATTGGTTAAAGAAATATCACAGCTGTCGGATTAATATTTTTTTCATCAACAACAAATGGCCAAATTCTCTGTTTGAATCTCCCATAATCACAACTATCCTCGAATAAAACTGATTCGAGGAGTTGGAAAATGACAAATTAGATAATAAAATTTTCCGAGTCTCTCAATTCGAATCGGCTAAAAAAAAACAACAATCTTTCTTGAGTGGGGCGTGAACATCTCCCGTACATACCATGCAGATGCTCGATTAATTGAGTTATCAGAGAAACTTTCTAGATTTCATTTTCAAAGATTATTAAAATTTTAATACCTAGATTGTCTAGTTGAACTAGTGATTTAGTGAGATCTAAATAGGGGATGCGACTACTTTTTGTTTCATTATCTAAAAATTCCATACATTTGTTTACGTGGAATAACAATGGATGACGAATCAAATTGGGAAATTGCTACTGTCGATCGAGCCGGTTTTCTAAAGAGAAAAGATTTTCTGTGCTTGAATACATAACGAATACCGTGATTGATACGTCACTTTTTTTCATAATTTTTGTTTCTATCGTTAGAAAGAAAAAAAAAAAGATAAATCTTGTTACCTCACGTCTCGTAATATTGTCAATAATGTTGAAATTTGAAACAAACGAGCAAACGGTACATAATTTACTTGAGAAGATCATTCGAGCTATGAGAAAAATCAAAGCACCGCGCTCGGATTGCCGGGGCTATTTATAGAAACGAAAATACTATTTTACACACATGTACGTGTACACTCGCCCGGCGAGTCAATCGATCGCGAAACAACACGAAGCACATTTATGCTGAGAGAACACAAGGCGTACATTGCAGGACGATCGAATTGCCGAGGTGTCAGGCGCACTGCGGACCCTGCGATATTCAATACATACACAGCGCTCGTTGTGCGTGTACATACATATATGTACTCATGTACAGGCATGTGTACTCACACGGTGGGATTGTCATTACGATTTATTGAAGTACTCGCCGAGTTTAATTCAGGGATCAAATTGACTTGGAGTGATGCTGACGACGACGTCGCTGATGTGTATTCAACCATGGAATCTCGCCAGGTCATTGTACTACCGGATTATTTCGAATGATAGATTAAAGCCGCTTCAATTGCTCGTTAACATTCATAACATTCGTAAGTTGGGAGGATGTTATTTATAGATTTTTTGTTTTTCATCAAATAAAACTTTTCTTGTATGACAAAATAATATTATGGCTAATGGCAATTGTAGCACGTCTAGACTTTCGAATGGTAAAAAGTGTTGCACGCAGTTCAACTTTTGAAACATGATCCGATCGAAACGTTCTGCGGTACAAATATATACGCGTATATATAGTATTTCAAACGTTTTCAATAATATCAACGCTAGCTCCGATGAGCTTTCGAAGCCAGTATAGATAATGAGTCCGTTATAAAATCCCAAGCAATAATTTGGAATTTCTGTAATAATTTAAAAGTTATTTCCTTAGATGTATTATCTTTGCAATAAAATTGCTCACATACTCGCCTCTCCTTTTACCCGAATATATCCAAGGTAAATCGTTACCCGAAAAGTAAAAAATAATAAATTGCTGGGTAATAGTTAGTATAGAGCTTTTCAAGTTTTAGGAAGCTTTCCTACGTATAGTGTGTAGGGCATAACGCAAAAACCGTAACTCTGTCATGACATGTGTATTGACTTGAATAATATCGTGCACTTGTGCAAACACGTATTTGCACTAGTAGTGATGAGAGCAAAGTAAGGTGACGAGGAAGTAAGCTGGCAAAAGTGGGAGAACAGATGATTGGTTGACCATAGAATACGTCCGCCATTCGTGGCGAAGTATATAAACAGATATTATACACTCGCGTTATAAAGTGTGTCAGCTTCGTTTTCTCACTTGCTCGAAGCTAGCTAATTTAAACCTACAAGCACCTATCAAGCGGACAACGAGCATTTACCAATCGAATCAGGGTACATTTTGTCGCTTTAAAGGACTTTATGCGATTTCAACCATATACTTACTACGTATGAGGTACGTTTAGGAGTCCAGGAGACTTGCCTGTAAGGGGCCATTTTCATGCTCACGCTAAACCGATCGAACGATACAGTTCCCCCCTCGAGGAATTTTTCTCGCGCTAAAAAAAAAAAGTTCAATCAAGCGAGCTTTTCAGCGTGAGCGTCGGAAAGGACCTTCAAAGTCTATGGGAGAGGGAGAGGTTATAGACGGCCAGGGTTTATCTAAACACGCCCTGAAGTCGTGTGGAGCGTGCCAGCGTTGGCGCGTAAATGTAAACACGCGGCCGGCTTTCCGGATCGATTCACAGTCCCCGCCTCCATTAGCCGAAGCATAACCCGAGCCAGCGGCAAATAACCAAGTAAGCACACCCCGTCGTGTTCCCCGTAGAATCGGCGAAATTGCAAGGACGCGTGTATGTATGTGCGAATTTGTCGAAACGACTCTTTTTAGAGAGATAAGCCATGTGCTCGGGAGCACGTTATTTATACACGTCAAGGTAGAAAAAGGTACTCATTCGGACTTACCGATGGCCTGCATGAACTCATCAAAGTTCTTCGAGTCGCTGAGCTGGTACTTTTTGCCCAAAAAGTCCTGCATCGCTGCGTTGGTGCTTGCCAGGAAGATCGATAGGACGAGAGCGAGTAGTAGGATACGTTGCCCACGGGGCCGGCTGCGCAGCGTCGACTGACTGGTGGCGGCAGCTACGTTGTTCGCGCTCGTCTTTGCCATACTTTATTATATTATTCGGGCTTCCTTCCACACTGGATGATGGCTACGGCGGGTGTGTGTAATGCAATGCAGCCTGCGGCGCTCTATACCTCTATTGTGCAAGTGTGCCGGGGACCCTCTCACATCTACTACTTGTACCCCGGCTCCCCTCCCCATTCAGACTCTCGATCTCTCTCTCTCTCTCCGGCCGCCGCTCGGCACAGCATCATCAGCGTGCGCGCTCAGCTTTTTTTTTTTTTTTTCCTTCCATGGTCACCCAATACCCGTGTACACATATACGTTCTATTTGCTGAAAACTGGTCGTAGTCCTGCCCCCCCCCCCCTGCCCCGGGTCCGGGAAGATGATCGGAAGATGGAAAAAGTTGCACAGGGGCCTCTTCTGATTCGACGTTCTGGCTCATATACACGCATACTTACTTGGTTTTTATCACCACGATTTCGCAGCATCCCCGGCCCCTGCAGCAAATACACGCACACGAAACTAATCCGTTTTTGCCGCGTGTACGATATCATTTTGTTTGCGCTGCTAATACATTTTTGCAGCTGTATGAGCATATTAATTATTTTATCGGCCAATACATCCGCCGCGATACGCTCGCGGTGTTACATTTGTGTAGAAAAACGATCAAGCTGAATCTCGGTTTTGGACGGTACGATTTTTAACTGTCTCGTAAAGATATTTTTTTTTTTTTTTTTTTTTCCTTCCAACTAAAACGAAAGATTCGCGCGGTTTTATCGCACGGGCTTACATAATAATTTAATTACTGTGCGATGCGAGTATAATTAATACGTTGTCTATACCGTTTCACCCCTGCAAAAAAAAACTCGCTGATTTTAAATTTACGCACGTGTATACTTTACGTTCTAGGGTGCACATATATTATATTATATACTTTAGTTGAAATTTACCCGTCCTAAGTCGCGAAGGGGCATACAGGTATAATACATACAAACTCACGTAAGTTCTTCGAAGAGAAACTTTTCTCGAGATTGACGGATAAATTCACACATGCAGGGTTAACGAGAAAAACTTCTGGGCAACGACATTTAAGTGCGTATATCTACTGATGGATCCTCGAGTTGGTAATAAAACTTTCAAAAGTGCACCCGTGTGCCATTGTGTGTACTGTTTTTGTTACAATAAGCTTGCAAAAGAAAATCACGCATTTTCCTGCGGCGTAGGTGCTTTCCCCAACCATTTGGAAAAATCCAGTCTATGTGTCATCCCTAAGCTATGCACAACTCCTTTGAGGATCACTAACACACACGTTTACCAGCCCTCGTGTAGAAACGTGTATCGAACGACCATCAGCATCCCGGCTACCGGATTATGTGTATACATATACGAGGATGACGCTCCCCTACGGAGCCAATGCGCACATATAGTAGACAAGTTTCCACGGAATATCGGTAGTTGGAAACCGACGTTTTCTCCCCGCTTAGAGAGCCGTAAAGTATTATTATTATTGTTTGTTTACATCTCGGTTCATCCGAAAAACACATCCCCAGGCAGGGCCAATCATTTTTCAGCGGAAGGTAAAATCTTTCATGTTGAATTTTAGTGGGGCTGGCGAGTCATCGGTGCCCATATTCGAATAGTGAGAAACCATAGCTGCGTGCCACGTCTCTCCTCTTCTTTCATTCAAAAGCGCATACCTCTATACCTATACGCCTACACGTGTTACATACGTTATGTACACACAAGCACAGTGGACATCAGCTCCATAGGGGCCTTGGGCTAAAATTAAGCCATGTCGATTCGAAATCGCTCGCACGCCATACTTATACACTCATAACACGGGTATATATATATTTATATAGTCGTCTTCTTCTGACGGGCCGTTAATTAAATAGGAGAGCGGCCGAATGGTAGCCCGCTATTGTCGCTCAATTCGCAGAAATTAGATTTAACCCCAATTAAATTATTAAAGCCACAGCAGCCCTACATATACATGTACGACGTATGATCGCCTGATTCGTTTGATTTGCATCGTCCTTAATTGGGACGAATTTTAACGGTAGCCCCGATGCTCGTTCCCGATCTTCACTTTGTGGTTACACGCATACATCCCTTCCTTGCGCATCATGTATTCGTACTTTTACCCAATACATCCAACAACTTATTATACGCTGCTCCAAATCACGGTCTAACGTAATCGTACCTATATAATTGTACGAAATTTCTTTGCTCGACGAATCATCCAATCAAGTTCTTTTTACTGTACGCGCATATATACATATCGTATGGCAATAATGTATGTTGTATATATACCATCGGTGAGAATAAGTACATGATAAACTATTGAAAGCGCGCGGCATGTGCAATGTAATAAAAAGTAACGTGTAACATATATAAATGCGATACGAGTGGCAGACGCGTGAGTCTGAACGAGTTTCAATGAGGAAAATCGAAAACTTTATAGAGAACAATATCAATGAATCTGCAAAATATAATTTTTTTTTTTTTATAGCTTTTGTAACTTTTCCTTTTCTCCAAGGTTAAAAGTCAAAATTTATTTGATTGGTTGTGCAACGCGTGTATGCGGTACGCCCCTCTTTTGTTATCGCGAGTGAACCAACTCCTAATCGCTATTACAAAAAAAAAAAATAACCCAGCAATTGTATAATATTAAACATATATGTGTATATTGTATGATGGCACGAGAGAGCGCGCGCGTGCACAGCCGAGCAGAGACTCGATGCCCCGAAATTGTTGTACGCGACGTGCCATTTGACAATATACGACAGACAAACTCTTTGAACAACCGACCCATGCGACTCTTGATCTCCCTCGTAACTCGCACCGCATAAAGGAGCCGTGCATGGTCGCATTCTTTATTGTTCGGTCACGTATCGATTCCTCCTCCGTTTGGGTTAAATAATAAAACGATGCGCGACGAGCATGACCGGCATTTCAAACTCAAATGGCCTGCAACAAAGGCTTTCGAAGTATTTGAAAAGTCACATTGATTTCTTGGTCATGTACAATGTTTTCTCCAAGTCCAAATCTCGCACGGATTTCCATCGCTTTCAACCGATCTGGGAATGTGTTTTCAAACGATCGTTTCAATGAACAGTTTTAAAATCTACAGGAGGAATCGAAGAGCAGTACCACAACCATGAATACATTTTTAGCTGGTGATAATTTATTCGATCGATTACCTTAAATGCTTGATAAACACATTATTTTTATACGTATGTTATACGTATAGCCCGTACGAGTGTCCTTCGCAATCGATCGCGCATCTCAACTCCCAAAGATCAACGATAAATCTGGGAAACGTGTAGGTATACCGACAACATACTAAAAGAATCGCTTGGCGCAAGGTCCAGTGGTTTCCAAGTGCATGGCATTCACTGCTGAGGAAAAGAAAGAAAAAAAAAAAAAAAAAATTAACGTTGTAGCACAAAGTAGCAGCTTCACGGGCCACGTGACTTTTGCCCACATGTGCGAATTGGTATTCAGACTATCCATTCCGCACGACGAGCAACTGTGTGCATTACATAAACGCGAGTGCGCTGTTTGATCTTTTTGTTTATTTAGTTTTTCTTTTTCTTTCGCTTTGGAGTGGAAAAAAAAAAAATAAGAATAATTACCAGCGACCAAACGAGGAGAGGATTTGATAAATAATTTTTTTCTTTCACGCTCTATATAATACAACGAGTAATAATCAGTTATTTATTTTTTGATGATTAATTCTTTTTTATCAAACTCGCGTGTTGGGCAATTTTTAGGCCATCTCACCACCAACATATACCTTCTATCTATCTCGGTCACTATGTTTTTCTATTACCCGGAAATATTTATCTCTGCGACTATTAAACTTTTTTTTTCTTTTATCTTCAAGAGAACAACAAACATCCGAATTTACATTTCCCGAGGGAGTAGAGCCTCGATGTTTCACGGCTGTCTCACGTATTCCAATCTCTTGTGATAAAAAGTTTGGTGCGGAAGTTCGGCTAGCTATGTGTATATACGTATTATGCTTGTACCTTCCTCCGCGGTGGTGCTCGAGAAGATAATAATTTAAACTCGAATAATAATTATATATGTGGGGGGTGTCGCTTGTCCGCGAGGACTAAAATTATTGCGAAAACGATGATAAAATGAGGTCCGTTATTAACCGATCGGGTGTTTCTGCACCGATGGAGCACTCGAAGAGAGCTTGATCTGAAAATGTCTAGATGTCGTTGTCGCGACTTTTTTCCCCGTTTTAAATTTTATCCTCGCGTTGTGCTAATGTGAAAGAATAAAAAATACCTGTTGAATTCTAATGGCTTCATTATTTATGCAATTTTTCACTTTGAATTTATATAAAGGGAAAAAAAATTAGAGTTAAAAAAAATTTTTTCAACGTTTTTAAGTGGGATTCGTAAAAACACAGGCTTCGCCTCTTCAAGAATATAAGAACGAATAATTTTTGACCTTAAAAAATGCAAGATCATTCATACTTTTTATATCCGGGATGATACACGAGTTTTAATCAAAGTTTTATTTTTTTTTTGAAAAATGAAAAAACGACTTTGTCGAAAAGCAGGATTTTTTAATTCGATGAATGTACTCTGCTGATGAACAAATTATTTGACATAGATGGACTGCCGTCACGTATGATTTTAAAACGTTTTCATTTTGCGCGCTCGCGCCTACCATCAACGACCCAATAAAATAAAAATAATATTTAATTACTTCAAATAATGTTACTCTCAAGTAAAATCATGATAAAAAATAAAAAAATTTAACGTAAAGATGTGTTACTACACCTCATGGAAAATAATATTGACGCGAGATTAATGTCAAGCCGCGAACGCGTTTATAATCGTTCCCACGAGTTCCCTCAATGTAACAAAGGTGTCGACTACCCGAGCACTTCCAAAGTACAATTCGCTCCTGTTGCTAACTTCCGCGAACAAATTTACGTCTTCCCCGTACTGCATTTCAATTTTATCTTCCACCCAAGACGAGATCACCTCGATTCCACGCAACTCGCTAATTACGTTAACCAAAAGCAGTTTACCACTCCGCAATGTAACGAGTAAATGCTGCCATTGTGTGCACGGCGAAACCTGCAAATTATAATAAGCGCGCAATGAACCACATTAAAGTTAATTTTGGA